GGAGTCTGACAAGCTTCTGGGTAACAACACACAGAATCACACAGAATGGTTGACAAAATATTAAGATGACTTGTATGCTTTGAAAAGTGTGAGAATAAAACCAATGATTCATTACACAATGCAGTGATTGGATGGAAACTACTGGAAAGAGTTCTCTTTACATTTAAAATTTAATTAAAACTCCCTAAAATTAAGAGAGAGTAAATTACTTACCTAAATGTTGACAGAGAGACTGAATAACATTTGTGGCAGCTGCATAAATCCCTGGATTTTTGGAGTTCAGGTTGTTGTCTACCATGGCAGGAATTAACATGTTGATCACAGGTGACAAGTTGTCTCTCAGCAACGGAATCATCTTGTGCATTGCCTCCAAAGCCACCTGATTCACTTTACTGTTTGAGTCATGTAAGCGGGACTTGAAAGCATCAAAGATCTGAAAAAAGTGTCCAAACAGCATTCATCTGAATTAATTAATGTTTGAAGTGGGTATTTCCTGCTTTATTGTTAAAAAGTGTCCAAACAGCATTCATCTGAATTAACAATTAATGTTTGATGGACTTTCATTGTCCATCTTGGCAAAAGATGGCTCTGATGTGCAAATACCAGAGATATATATTTTTCAGCAAGTAAAGCAACATTTTGATATTTTTATACTGTGTATTATTCGACTGTATCTCACCTCATCTGAATTGGAATCGTTCCTATACAATGTCATGGAGGTAAACTAGCCATCTGTAACTTTCAGTATGACTAACGTTTCCTGCAAGCAAATATTTTTAGCAAGACATAGCTCTGTTTAGCAAAAAATAATGTTTTAAAGATTTCAAAAACATTCACAGTTAAGATATTGTGAAGTTCCACAGAAGTCTTTCATAGTTCCACAGCAAAGACACTGAACTGTTGGAAGACAGTCTTGGTTTTCATTTCATTGTATCCATCCTTAGTTTACAACTGTTGGATCTCATAATATTATTTTTCTCCTAAAGAACCTCTTTTCCTATTAGAAAGGATACTAACCTTATCATAATAAAGACCTTTCCTCACCTTCTGAGACAAACAAAGCAGAGACAACTTGCAGCTGTGTTTCAGAGAGAGTTTTTCAGATCTTGATCTATCCTTGCTCCTCTTTTTGTAACTATTCCAATATTTTGATATTTAATCAGCAGTGGCATGAAAAAGTGCATGCAATATTCCAGAAATAGTTCAGAGTGCTGTCTCTAAGTGAAAACTTCCAGCTTCTTCCTCCTGTTTACTTCCTTCCCTACCTTTGTAGCTTACATATCTCCCCTTTGCGGGTACCTCACCCAGTCCTCAGCATTCTCCTGTTCATCAGACATTCTTATTGAAAGAGGGAGCCGAGATTTTTATCAGAAAAATGTGTGACACAACTTTAAAGACCTTTGAAATAACACGTTTTCATAGTTACCTTCACAATGTTTGCAACAACAAAGCCTTGATTGTTCTCTGCGTCTGCTAACAGCTGCTTAATGCCATTTATTCGGTCACGGAAGTCTTTTGCATTCAGTAAACCCACAATGTCTTTAACATATTCTTCATTTTCTAGTGAATTACGAGGAGCTGTTTTTCTTGTGACTTCACGGGCTTCTGTAGTCTCTCTAGTGGAAAAGAAAAAGTTATTCAGTGAACACATAAGCAAGCTGAAACAGGAGTCTGTAATCTCAGACATTCTCTTTCCACGTAAGTGCAAGTATCAGAAGTAAACAGAAAATATTCTGATGAAGGACTTTCACTTTAAACATAATGATTTTTTTAAAAAATCACCTACTAATAACTGTTGTTCCTCAAGTCCCCGTATACATTCCACTCTAAATGCAGACAAACCTATCACACAAGAGAGAAGCCTCAACTAGGGCAGGAGCCCTGTGCTGTTTCTGCACGAGAGCAGCTGGGTTTGTGACCTGTAACAGTTGTGAATTTCCCTCACATCAACGGGTCAAAAAAAAAATAGATACTGTAGTTTAATTCTTTATTCTCAAAGTACTTTAAATACTGACCCCAGTCTAGATGGCACCTAAGATGGAAATTCAACAACTCTTCATGGAGGATTTTGAGACAAATTTTCTGTGGCACCTAATCCTATTAGACAGCCATGGAAAAAATCAGAAAATCTGTGGAATCACTTCTCTGTCCAGGTAAGTATCCTGCATTTACAGACTGGTCCAGATAATCACCAGCTCGTTCCTAACTCATGAACAGAAGTCTTTGATGGAGAATGGAAAAAGCATCTTTCTTTGATTTTCAAATTCAAGCCTATCAGCTCTGCGAGAACAAAAGGCAGCACCAACATCTCCCGTCCTGCCAGTGAATCACAGGCTACTGAACTACCTGGATCAAAGATAAGAGAGTCTTTGGCATTATGCAGTAGGTAGCAGTACCTCTTCTAAGGAAGCAGACATGTAGTTTTACATGCCAAAGCAAAATTTCCCATCAAATGTGGAATTAGTTATTATTTTGAATAGCAGAGAGTGTGTTAAAGAAATCCATTCCTGAAGATAAACTCTCTTCAACCTGGAAGCAGTCACAGCCCCTGTGAACTCCGTATTCTTGGACACAGTTTTTCGGCTTGGTTTAAATTTTAGAGGGTTACTTTTTCAGTTCAATAGAAGACCTATTAGATGACAAAACAGAAAACTAAAACTGGTCAGAGTATCATTTAAAACCTTCAGCATCCCCAGTTTGGATCTAACTAAAATACTCAGCGTTCAGGTAAGGGCACAAGTAGGTAACTTGTACTGCGGCTGCCACCAGGTATGTTTTTATTTCTATAGAGTCTGAACAGCAATACCTTGAGCTGATGGTGACATGGACCTACTGTGAATTCCAAGTGTTTTGTGTGCTGTGTGTGTTTTCACAGGCGGTCAATAGATAAATTAACTTCAAAATGCACAAAGCCATTTTAATATTACCATTTACCCTATTTAAATGAGTTTCTCTGGGACATGTCAAGTTTTTCCCTTTTCTTCAGGTATGTTTAATTTTCACAAACCTAACGTGAATGTTTCTATACTCTCTTCTTGTGGTGAGGCTGTTATCCCTGAGGTCAAGTCCCTAACAGGGTAAAACACTGAGGATCATTACCTGTCAGTGATGTTGAGAGTATCTCTGGAAGTAGAGGATGACCTCGAATGTCCGACACTACCAGTATGGGAACGTCTTCCTTTTGCTGAGGGTGTATCTAACGGCATCTCCCCCAAACCCTGCACAAAGGTGTAACTGTTAATGGACATGGCTGGTACAGTTCTGCACTGCTGGAGACCCTGCAAAACCAATCTGACAGCCACATAAAGTACATTTGATCTTGTGCTTCTGCCAGGAGTAAAGGCAGGCACAGGGCAGGTAACAAGCAGTACTTTGCCATGCTGGGGGTCATGTCATTACTTGTCTTCTTCTGAAGGTTCCCTGTAGGTTCATTGTCTACATCTGACAGCCACTAGCACACATTTACATTTCTCAGCTGTTAAACAAGAGCTTTTCCACATACCTTTTCACGTAGATTGCTAACAGATTCCTTAATGTAAGGCAAATCCTTGGTCAGCACATACTTTTCAAGTGTTTTATCAAAATCAGGATGAGTCATCATGCTGAAGAGCATCCTTCTCCCGTAATACCTGCAGGGCAACAGACCATGACACACATCTGTAAACACACATTTGCTTTGTAACTCTCTTGATAATTAGTCAATAGAAGTGCCTGAAATTGTTGAAGGCCAGGCTGGATGAGGCTTTGAGCAACCTAGTCTAGTGGACTAGTCTGCTGATGGCAGGGGGGTTGGAACTGGGTGAGCTCTAAAGTCCCTTCCAGCCCAAACCATTCGATGATTCTATGATTATAGGTGTGTAGTTCCAAAATAGAAAAGAAAATGCTTGAGAAAAGAAAAGTATGTTGAGCATAGAGAAGAGAAGGGAAGAGAAGAGAAGAGAAGAGAAGAGAAGAGAAGAGAAGAGAAGAGAAGTTGAGCATACTTTCTTTGTTTCTGCCCACAAAGAAAGTATGCTCAACAATCACTATTTAATCAACAGCTGAGTGAATTAATTAGAACAGTCTTCCATTTCAACTGTCTTTAAATAGGATGGTTCAGCCTTGCCAGTCAGACAGCGTGGATACCAGTGCCAGCATTCCCTCCATGGCCCATATCTCGTCTGTGCCCAGCAAAGTATGTCCTTTGAGCCCCTTTTTCCAGCAGCCAGGGTGGGCACAGCTGCAGCAGGCAGTCAGGTAATTCCTGTCTTAAGTCTTGGCAGTGCTAGTTTATGGTTGGAATCGATGATCTTAAGGGTCTTTTCCAACCGAAACAGTTCTGTGACTCTATGCTCTGTCACTGCTGGAGGGACACACACTGAGCTATGCCACCTGGAACATGCTTATCTTAACTATTAACCTCACCCACCTTGTTTGTTGTGAACTATCCTGTGCAAACTTGGCTATTGCAGGGAAAATCCGATCAGCGACAGCTTTGGTCCCAGACAGAATCCGCTCCGGTCCCATCCGTTCTACAATGTCTGACAGGTGCTGGGCTGTGCATCTCCTCACCGCTGAATGCAGGTGGCTAAAGGAAACACAGCTGGTTAGCCAAAACTCAGCACAGGAGCTAAACAGCACTGTTTATGAGCTCTACCCAATATGTTAGACAAGTTTCATCTTTAGCATAGTCTACAACGAGCGTACTGCTGACACGCAGACACTTATTCTTGATGTAAAGAGAAGGCAAACAACTTCCTTTAAAAGGGTAATGCATTGAACTGAATTTCATCTAATTCACTTAAAATCCCAAACTACAAGAAAGCAGAATGAAAAATTAAGAATATACAATACCCTTTTTGTTTAAAGTCATGTTCAACCTCTAACTGCCACTTAATTAATTAAACAATTAATTTTCTTCTTTTTAGAATTTAATTGCTAGCTTTCCTTAAAATAGTCACAAAATATTTTAGAAAGCACACTACTGCATGTTCTTTCAATCAACTTTATAAAAAACTAGTTCCTATGCTCAGAAACACATTATGTGTATTTTATATCAATTTAAAATTCAATAAAGCAATATTCTATTGACTTCTAAAAATCTTGTGGAAATCTGTTTTCTACAAAGCAGGGGCCATTAAACACCTATAATGGTGAAAATGGGAGAAAAGCTGGAATCAATTTTCAAAGCTGTGCGGCCAGCTAACCCTTTATATAAATTCTGCTGTACCTGCTGACCCCACACAGAGTACACAATCCTGCAAATCCAAAGTTTTCCCATTTTATTTTAACCTTTGGATTAAAAATCCTACTTTGAGGACACTGAGCAGTAAACAAGACATTTGTGTGGCTCATCATTCATGGGGAAAAACAGGTTTAAAGGAGAGAGCTCAGGAAATGAATTGACTTGGTAAAAGGCATGAGTGTTTCCCCAGCTCTGCAGTTTGATATGACACCCAATGTTCTTCCTACATGACTCTGTTCCCATTTCACCAATATTCTCCTTTTCTCTGGTTCCATAGATTGCCATGGCCTCACTGGAAGCAAAGCCACCACTAGATTGTACTTCAGAAAGACATAACCTGCCATTCTGTCTTACAGCAGCCACGGGAGCTTGGGAGAAGAGAAACACTAAGAGAGTGACTCCTCCTGCACATTCCCATGGGAAAAGGAGAACTGTGGGGCTCAGAGACCTCACCACGTGGAAGCAAATAACCCCCCACTCCCCACTCATGCCCGCTGCTCATGCTAAATAGTTGGAAATCTTTTTGTATGCACACAAGACCTTAGAATTAAACACAATTCAGACAGATAAGAAACATTATTTTAAAATTTCTGAAATATAATCACTTTCAGATCTAGTCCCGGAATCGTGTTTGTGGATCAAGCGTCTTTAAATCAGCATCTCACAAAGTTAAACAAAAATGGTTTTAATTATTCTTGTCTTTGTAGCTGATGAAGAATCAGTACATTTATCTACTCAGGGTTGCAAACGTTAATGATCACAGTAGGATGTGCTGAGCAGAAAATAGGTAAATTTTAAAAGATCTTATGAATTGTAGGCAAAACCATGACTGTTAACTTGAACACCTAAGTTGTGGTGAATAAAGAAACTCAGTATATAAGCCACATTTAGAAAAGCTATCCTTTGTGTAATTACACAGTTGTGTCAAACAGAACCTTGTACTTCCTACTGCAGACACAAGCCATTTTTCTCCCCAGTTTCCACTTTGAAAGATAATTCTCGTACTCAGTGTTACAGCCTCTGGAGAGGACAGCTCCGGATGTGATGTGCCACATGGGCTGTGTTGCTAATACAGAGTTTCCTGAAGCCAGTCCTAGCAAAGCTGTAACTCACAGTGCTATCTGGGCCATCCACTGATGTGTTACACACTGAAAACATACTGCGCTCCATGATTTAGACACTCCTTTGAGTGAAGACTTCTTAGCTGCAGAGATTAATCCCTGCTTCAAGGGCTGCAATCAGACTCACAGCTCAGATAATTCTGATGTCTTAGATATCTGAAAACACATCAGAGTTCACAAACTAGAGGGGTCAAATCTCTATAGGTGTAGAAAACTCGTAAGGATGGGTCAGTGTGCTTGACTCTGCCACTGAAAAGGGGGAGATCAGATGGAGCCAGTCATGATCATGAGTATTGATTGGCCAAGGAAAGATGGGAACACATAAACAGGCCACTTCATACAGCCTCTGAATTAAAGCGACATGCAGTTAGCATCTGCTGCTCCTAAATTCACAAAAAAACCTCCATGTGGGCACAATTCATTCAGAATTTAAACCCTAAGGCTGACATTTGCTGTTCAGTTTAAAGTTCAGGTAACTGCAGTAAGGTTCCCATTGGCTTTTCAGGAGACAGAATCAATATATTCTACAACAACCAGCTTCCCAGGAAACAAAATAAGAAACAAAACATTTTGAATCGAGACTAACCCTTATGATTTGTAGCTGTGCCAAAAGTCTGGGGATTGATTTAACATGTAGCATCTAAACTATTTAATGGAAGGGAGAGGCTATGAGAAATGTAGCCCATCAACTGTGATCTAAGTGATGAGAGAGAGAGATAAAGGATTAAGTACAAGATCTATCTAACGTCCTGGAATGCCTAATGGCTTCATTAAGTATCACTGTCCCAGTGAATGAGGATACAAAAGAAAAAGAACAACATACTTCACAGGGAAAGTGCCAGAAAGGAACACAACTTCTGCTACAGACCGAGGTGAGCGAAAGGTGAGAATCAAACCATGCAACAGAAACGGAGGTTGGTCATGTTTGAGGCACTCAGGACAATAAAGGCCACCACCACTGAAAAGGAGACTACAGTGCAGACAAAAAAGACCAGCTATTAACCAGCTACGTCTAGAGAAGAGCATGAAATCAATGAAGATAGTTGCAGCTAGAGAATTGTAAATTGTAAATCAGCTTTATACATAAAAAAGTAGTGCTTTTGATGAAAAAGAACTGAAAAAGATGAAGATAGTTGCAGCTAGAGAATTGTAAATTATAAATCAGCTTTGGTGAAACTTGGTGAAAAAGAACTGAAAAAGGCAGGCATCTGATTGCAGAGCAAGTGAGAAATGAGAATGCTGTGTGAGCTTTACTGGGCAAAGCAAAGTAGCAGTTTCCTAAGAATACCACACTAACAGCAAACAAAATTACTGGTCTTGCAAAACGACCAGAAAACACACCAAGCTCCAAAATCAACAGCCAACTTTTTACAGAACGTATGGAAAGAAGCAGGGTACTATGTTTTATTTTCATGCCAACAAACATTGCCCTGGGGAGGAGTGTTTGCAGAGCTGATTTACTACATTTTCAAATTTCTGCCTATTGTATCTCGATTTATTTTTCTTTAAAAGACTATATTTGATAAATTTAATCTATTCACAAGTTATTTCTTTATAAAGTCTTTATAAGAATTACCTTTGCCCTCCATTTATAAGAGAACAAAGTGCACGTGCTGGAGTCACATTATTAACCATAGCCTTCAGTGCCTTGTCTACCTCTTCCCTTATAAATGTGTTGGATTCACCAGCTTTGTGCAAAAGGACTTTTACTGTATTATCTAGTTCTTGATCCATGCTCTTTTTCAGGTAGGTGAACAAATCCCCTAAACAGACCACAGCAGCTCGAGAAACACCTGAGCGTAAATTCTTGACCTGTACACAGGAAAAACCCAAACAAACAATGAATAATGTTTATAAAATATACTTTAAAATAAGCAAAGCTTAATGTTGCCCTTTGTAAGTTTTAAATAACATTAAAAGCAACTGAGAAACACATTTCTGACTTGATTAACAGTGTGTGAGAATTAAAATACATACAGATTGAAGTGTTATAAAGTTATAATCTAAATTTTTTCAGTCTTTTAGCAAATCAAATCAGATTTGATTCGGTATCTGAAGTAGGAGCTGCTTTGCTGAACGACAGACTCATCCTTTTGAGACCGTCCAACAGAGGAAAACTAACCACAGATGAACATACCACTGCACTTCAGTGTATCTCAGAGCTATAAAATACATATACACACACATAGTCAGTGAAATATTCTGATAGTAAAATTTAACCTCTTGTGCCACAGCCAAACTTGTTTCATGCAGCTTTGCAGTCAGAACAGTCGCATGGTAGGCAGACAAACATCTAACAAAGTTCAGACCTTCAATTTTCTTCTCCCTAGGTAAAAAAAGTAATTAAATTCAAAACATTTGGGGATTTTCACAAAAATATTAAAATACACAATTCTAAGACAGCAAATAGCTAACAAATTAAAAGAAAAAATAAAATTTTAAAATAAAGCACTGACATAATGTAGGAAATTTTTTCAAAGTGAGTCTTTCTTTTAATGTGGCAGTAGGACTCTCAATTCTTTCCTACAGTTCTGCCCACAGCCTGCACTAGCTGCACAGAAGGATTACTTTCCTTCCCAAAGCTGACAAGGCAGCAGCACTGTAACCCCATTTCGCCAGTCAGAGCACAGGGAAAGCCTCAGATCCCACAGCAAATGGCAAGAAGGTATTGGTGGGGGCCCTCTCCAGAACAGTGCTCCAACTCAGACACCTCTACGTGTCTCTCAAAGCTTAGCCGTGAAGCCTCAATTTACAACAGTGACAGTTTAATCTACATTTGGAGTGAAAAAACCCTTTTTTTAAAGTTTTTTTTCCCTCATACATCACTTGCAATACTTGCAATACTATTTTCGATGTTACATCCATTTTGCTGGGGTTTTTTTTAAAGTTATCAAAATAAAGACCTTCTCCATTAGAGTCAGGCTGCAGACAGATGTTTGCACCTACCAGTCATCATCAGCTAAAAGCATCAAGGCTTCTGTCAGTGCTGTGTCTGGCTTTGAAAAGGGCTGCAGCTCTGACTGGTCCATTATTTCTGGGCTGTGAGTGACCGATGGGGTCCGGTCTTTATAGCATCCTCGTGCCCCAAAAGAAATTTCATCTGCTAAGTCATGAAGCATAACAAATAATTAGCACAATTTGAAGAAACTCATGCATTCAAAGGAAGGAAATAAGTTTGAGGTATAGGTTGCTGCTAATAAGGGACCAGGTTTTCAAAAAGACCTCTCTCAGTTACATCCTCAGTCATTCAGCACTTCATTCACGTGGATGAATTTTTTTTTGCAAACAAACACCACTTTAAAAAGTCACAAACACAAATGTAGTGGGTTTTTTAATGTAAAAACAGATGCACAATGTGCTAAAACACAGTGAGGTAGGACACAATATAGTAAAACTGAAAGAGACCTTTAAATTCTGAGGACCTTTGACCACCATCAGTATGAGCTTTTATTCTGAACAGATATTTCTAGTGTATATTTTCAAGGCATTTCAGTGAGAAAATGTGCATAGAAATGTTTTTCTTGGAGAGAGAAGGGGCTGGAAGAGAGTCAATTTGCCATTAACACATTACATCATTTACGTTGTTAAGCAAATAAAAAACCTTCTCGTATTTCAAACATCTTCCTAACAAATTATAGATGAAAAATGTTTGAAGGGATCAATGCTGAATTCTAACCCACTTCACCACTCCCCCAAAGTACTAATCTTCCAGAGCACCTCAGGACTATCCATCATACACATTAACCACATTAAACCTGATCTTATCTTGGAACTGTCCCACTCCACATATCCAAATACTTTAAGAGTTTTCAGTTTACTGTAAGAGCTTACCAGAATCCAGCAAGCCTGAGCATTTTGTCTTCTTCAAACTGGACGTTCTCTTTAATGAAAGATTCAAGGCCACATTTTCTAATGACAAAGACACGTTTCTTGACGAGGTTAATATATCTCCACAGAGATTTAACTCTAGAAAATAGAAAGAAATGTCCAAACTACAAGAACAACTGATCAGAAAAAAGCAAAAAACCTAATATTTCCAATTCTCATCTGTCTTTTGAGATTTTCTGCAATTACAATCTTTCAAATATTTCCCCGTAAGCACTTTACTCTCCACCATTTGCATTACAAGACTGACAACAAATGACTAAAGAGTAAACTGCAGAGTAAAATTAATTCTAGTAATAACATGTCATACTAGACAGTCATGATTTTTGGTAATTATCATGGAATTTTAATTTCCATTCCAGCAGCATTTAACAGTATATTATTCATTTAAGACAAACACCAATCCTCACTTTCTGTTGCCATTTTCTCTGCTTCATTCAGTTTAAGTCTTTCCCAAGGGTTTTCTTCTTTTTCTTCGAGGTCTCTGACTTCCTGATGTTCTTTATGATTGTGTTCTTTTTCTTCTTTTTTCTTCCTCCTCACCTTATCCTGGGCAGATTTTGACATGGAAACTTTTACCTGCAAAAAATCACTGTGCTCATTATGATATGCAATATAAAACAACGCAGAAGTTACCCAATAACTTGTTACCCAGTTCTTGATACTGACTAAAGTAAGCATGGAAAATTACTATTTTTCACCATTATTCTACAGAGCAAAAGGAAATTATTTGGATAAATATTAAATCTAGTCCTGAAACAAGCTGAATGTGTGCTTCCTGCGTGGTAAGTAGTCCTACTGGCAAAAAGAAGAAACATTCCAGCTTTAAACATTTAAGGGAAATAATCATTTACTAAAACATCTGAATAGTTAGAGAATTAAGGTCTACAGGAAAAGATCTTCTGAAGAATAATGCTGAATGACAAGAAATTTCTGGTTTAGGCTTAATGTAACAGTTTGCAAACATGAGGAGAGCAACTGTGTCCTCATTACTGTTTGCAAAGTGGTTAAATAAGCAGTCAGAGCAAAAAATTGCATGCAGTCAACCAGATGTCAACAAATTGTTAATCCAGCTTTAATCTTCACCTTAATCTTCAATCTTCACTTTTAATCTTTAACCTATAATCAAACTCAACTAATGAAGTAAATAAAAGGACTTGTACACTGTTGCAAGTCACCTGAGCTATGAATTAATCTATGTTAATCAAACTCTTTGCTGTAACATGGAGACTGCAAACCTGCACTCAGCTGTACCCACACATATAAAAACAGGAAGCAAGACAACACAATGGTCCTGCAGTTCCTACCTCTCTTTCATGTTCAGCATGGAGATGAGACACACTGCTCTGCTGGATGCTTCTCCCACAGATCCCCGGTGATGGCTCGGACTCCTCTTTGGCAGCCAGCTCGTCTCCATTCGCTAGACACTTTATGGACTGGCTGTGTGTTGGTACAGGAGGACTTCCAAAAACACCTGAAACGTGTACCACGTTGTACTCTCACCAAGAAAAACACTTTATTCAGCGTAACTTAGAAAAATTAAAGAAAACCAGAAGTAATTCAAGGACATAAAAACATTTCTTTGTTACTATTAGTGGTAAATTCCACCCAAAACTACTCTTACTTTACCGAGTGGGATGGATGCACGTACCTGTGTGCACACTGGGCTAGAACCAAGACCTAACCTTCCTAATTTGCTGCCACTCTTTGTTGTTGGAATGGAATAACTTACCCAGTAACTGCAAAACTTTCAAGCATAATTCTTTTTATTCCAGTTTAAACTGGAGATTGCTCCCCATCTGAAATGTTGTGAGGAATCTTCTTCTTTTCCCACTCTATAAAAGTATATTCTCTCTCATTTTAAAACCATGATGAGATATAGGAGATAATTTTAGTTTTGTAATACCTTTACCAACAATTACAACTCCATCTTCAGACAGGACACTTGGTGAAATGAAATCTGGATTGTTCATCTGTGGAAAACTAGATGTTGACTCCGCAAGACCTTAAAAAAACCCAAAAAACCACATTCACACAAGGTAAATCACGTAGTTTATGCTTTGGTACATGTTTTATTCTTCTAAAATGCCATCATACACTGACATATGCCATGTACCATCACTTGACTTTTAATTTTAACTTAATTGGCAGTCTAATTTCAGTTAATGTCAGAAAAAAACCAACTTGTTAGCGTAAGTATAAAGACTAGAAAAGAGGAAACCATGCTAAACACCTTGAAATGTATTTTCTGTAAAGCCTGTTTTACAAAAGGCTAAACACAGCCTCAGCTTTTGCCATAAAGCAGAGCCCAGATGAACAGCAATGCAGGGAACTCACAAACCTTTTGAACGTTTAAAATTTCTTTGCTGTTCCGTATTGTGACTTTTAAAAATAGCACGAGACTCTTCTGGCTTCTTGTCTTCATCATCTCCACAGCCGCTGCCACAGTTCAAACGTTGGCCAACTATGGTAACATTAGAAGTCCCCTTATCAGCAAATGCTGGCCATGCAAAAGGAAAAAAATCAAGTATTAAAAAAAAAGGACAAGATTCTGAAATAGTTCCATTTTCAGGGACTCTCAGACTGGTTTTGTGCATACAGGATAAGCATTTTTGCCTACAAAAATCTGAGCGTTTCAACAAAGCTGCTCAGGCTCTGTTCATTTTTCACATGTAAAGGCTTTTACCTACAGATACACCCAGGCTGAAAATCCAACCCAAAGCTGAAAAAATTCATTTTTAAAGTATTTAAAATATGGACAACTGAATACTTAGTAATTCAGCATTAAAAGCCACACTAAGTCATGAGTCAACTAAGTGAAAATGGTAAAATACCAGTTAAAACTCAAGAAATGTTTCCATTTACATATCCTCCAAGTCATAAAATACATTTTTATGTTACAATTACTGACAATAACAGTTGAGCATTTCTATGCCTGTAAAATGTTCTCAACACATTTTAGTCTTTGTTAAACACACAAACAAACAAACCAAAACCAAACAACACTAATTACTTCAGGAGTCCTTTAAAGGATCACTTCTGCTTTTCCAGATACACCTAAAATGGAAATATCTAAAAAGACAGACAGAAATCCTTTAATATACACGCTTTTACCACATATTCCCCAAATTCCACAGAACTAACCCCACACTTAACAGAAGGGTTAGGGCACAACCAAGATGATGGGCTGAGGTGACGCTGGTAATGCCAGCAACCAGAATGACACAGGTGTCCTCCTCAGTGGGCTACGAGGGCAACCAGGCAGCAGCTCTGCTTCCCACTGCCGCAGATGTGACGGTCCTGAGGCATCTCCCACCACCCACCCATGTCCACTTGACTTGAAGTTCTGCACTGGTGGCCATCACTGTCCACCCGACCACGTCCACGTGAGATCAAGAGCTGTACTCAGATCCTGGAAAAGGTTTCTCATGTTGTCTTCTTTCACTTGAGAACTCGGATCAGAGCAGCTGTTTCAGTCTGCCAGGGGATGGGAACCAAAGGGAATGTTTTGCTGTAGGCTTCTTGAGATGGTGAGGCTCCTCCAGCAAGGAACACTATGGATGGTGTCCTGATCTGGGCTGCTGTGAGGTGCTGTGGACAATGGCTATACAGCCAGATCCCCTGGAGGTCTGAGAACACCTTGACCATGAATTTCTGCACTGTCCCAATGAAGTCTTGTTGTTAGAGTGTTTCATATATCAACATTAAGCCCTCACACGTCAGGACTGATCCATTAGTTGCTGTATTTGGTACAACAGCAGCTTCTGGCCTCTGGAACTGTCTGAACCCCAGGGAAAGATGAGCAACAGGCCTGAGAGCAGGCAGGCAGGTGTTCCCGGTGTCCACTGCTACAAGCTGCACAAACTTTTATGTTACAGAAAGAACTGGGTGGTAAGAAATGTCTGAGAGAGCTGCCATTCTCTCTGTTACAACAAAGCCAAGAAAAACAGATGAAATTCATCTTAGAGAAGCAGCTGAAGCAATGTGAGCCCAATTAACAAGTTAATGATAGGTAAGGGACATATAAATTTCCAGAACAGGAAAGAGCAAAAGTGTTAAACTCTGAAAAAAAGAAAAATGCTGAAGGAGGAGCCAGAGAACAACTGACCCATATGCTGAGCAATTCAGTTCCAGAGACTGCAGCAGGGCAAATGATGTATTTGGGAGCAGCCACCAGAAAACAGTATGATCAGAGAAATCTGGCCTCCTTTTATGACACAGCAACAGACCTCGTGGGCAGGAAAGAAGTGAGAGATGCCATATATCATCCCAGGCATACGTACGCAGAGTAATTACCAAAAGCCTCGTTCTCCAGATGGAGGGGTTGTACCAAGCAGGGTTCTGCTGCAGTCTGTTCAGGACCTCAAACTGCCCAATGTTTTGCCCAAACAGCTGGATAATGAGGCAGCAAGCTGAATTCAAATACAGGTCAGCAAATGGGAAGTGTACACATGGGGGACATCAGCACACACGATAGGGACAGACTTGTTAGCAGGGCCTGTGGTGATAGGACAAGGGGAAATGGTTTTAAACTAAAAGAGGGGAGATTTAGAGCAGATGTAAAGAAGAAATTTTTTACACTGAGGGTGGTGAAACCCTGGCCCAGGTTTCCCAGAGAGGTGGTAGAAGCCCCATCCCTGGAAACATTCCAGGTCAGGTTGGACAGGGCTCTGAGCAACCTGGTCTGGTTGAAGATGTCCCTGCTCACTGCAGGGGGGTTGGACTAGATGACTTTGAAAGGTCCTTTCCCACCCAAACCAGTCTGTGATTCTATGATTCTGTGTTTGAGGACATGATCTGAACTAAAGGAGCTTTTGATAAAGTAGAAGAATGATCCAAGAAGAACAAGACTCGGGTAGGACAGGACTCACTTTGCACGTTTTACAACAATGCAACCATAACTACCCTTTCAACTGTAAATGCACGAGGATACTGCACAGGTACTGCTTTTCAAGAAAGAGCCAGATCTGTTCAGAACAGCCTAGATGACAGCAGTTAAAATGTCCATAAAGATTTGACCTATGAAGGAAAGCTAGAAAAAATAGGAGTTAGCTTAAAGGACAGAAAACAAAAGAGGGAAAGAAAAATACAAAAAAAGGTAGCTGCTTGGAGAAGAAAATATTCCATGCTTCAAAAGAAAACAAAAATGCAATGAGACAAGTCACAGCACGGGGGATTTATGGTCAGTGTTAGAAAAAAAAAGTCATCTGATGAGACCAGTTAAATATCAAAATGATTTTTACGAGTTCTTCAAGTTCCAGAGTGAAAATTTAGAGCTTTTTGAGATTTGACTTGTGTGATGGGCCAAGCCCAGTCAGCAGTGGGAGTAAAGGACTTTTCTTCACCAGTTCTCTGCACTGTATCACACTGCCCTCATCGGCAGGAGGCTGTCAGCTCTTCACAGGAGGTCCAGTGCTGTGCATTCTGGTTGATTAACTGGCTCAATAACCAAATAAATGAGCTGTTCATTATTTTACACTGAAGGTCAATTCTCACAGAAGGTCTTTCCATAGAATGAATGCACAATCATTAACCACAACACGTATTACTGTGTACATGCAGTATCTGCTTTCTGACTTATGCTGTTCCTTGAAAAAACTTACTTGTCTATTTTATCCTGAGAAAAGTGGCCTTAGCTGAAAGGAGGAGCAATAGCTTCCACTGCTGAAAAAAGATCACGAGTCTCAGTAACAACTACTGCTTTTTGAAAATGATGGCTTTGCAAATTCAGGCCTCTAAGATGCTCTCCAATTGTAACTGAACTAAGTTTTGCAAACTTTTTGAAAAAATACATAGCTGCTGAGGCTGGAAAAGGATGCAACAGAGCAGTCTTGGGGAAGAGAGGTTAGAAAAGACTTTTGTGGACACAGCTGCCTCAGTTCCTTTCCTCGAAGAAAACATCTCCACCCAGTTGAATCAAAATTGATTAATGTAAATAATCATAATCAGTTTCTGCCCATTACAGAAAGCTGCAGTTACCTGTACTCACTGTAAGTGTAAAATAGAAAAGCATCACTTCAATTTCCTACCAGGAAATTAACTGCTTGCAACATTCTGACTCTTCCTACTCGGATTTATCCAGCTGGTGTCCAATGAATTTTCACACAATACTGCATTGAATTTTGAAGTGCACATACCCACAGGTGGCACTGGCATTAACACATTTCATCCTGATGCAGAAAGGCAGAAACCCTTGAGTCCTTTCTGACCTGCAGCACCACAGTGGAATCGCAATTTGACCAAATAGCAGCTAGCAATCATTTTAAGTGCTGGAGAGACATGAACTCCTTGGATGAGTAAGAACAGACACGTCAAGGTGACCATTGTGTTCGATCAATGAAGCAAGGTGTATACTGGAAAGCCCAGTGAAATACCTGTGCTGAAGTCATGTTCTGCCACATGTGGGTCTCGGTTTCTTGCTGAAGATACTCCTGCAGGTTGTGATTTATCGCCAAGTAGTGGAAAGGTGTCTGACCTGTAGAACATAAGATGAATTTTTATGAATACAATTCTACACACTAGTCAGAGCCCAGCTAAATTACAGTTTGTAACAAAGACATGAATAGATTTCAGTTTCTCCTTCCCAGTGTGCTTGGGGGACAAATATTTCCAGTATACTTCCAGAAATGCTCCCACTGAGCAGTAAAAGAAAATGAACTCAATAGAAATTATTTGATAAGCGGGTCCATTATGAAGAACACCGTAAAGACAACTCTCAGAAGTAAAATTATACTCAGATTACATTCAGAAAGCTAAAGAATGGTTTGACCTGAGGACTGACGATCTGGTTCCAATCTGGCAAAGCATGGCAAAGGAGAGCGACCAAATCCACCAACCTTTCACTTCCTGTTCTCAGCTCAGTGTCTAGCACACAGACATTCACCAGGAAAATGCTGTTCTCTACGGGACAATCTTGATACTTCTTTTCTTAAGCGATGCATTTGAATGTTAAGGATGACTGACCCCAGAGCCCTGTGCTGTTCAAC